TCTCTGAGATAAATAAAGGCCAGTGGATGGAAAGTTTGCTGGTTTTTTACTCTCCCCAGCACTTCCCAACCTGCAGGAGTAGCTGATGGAATTAAGTACGCTCTGTAAGTACACCTGAAGTAACTATTGTTTAATGCAATAAATAAATATCTTGCTGTAGCCACTGTTCAGGTTGACTATTTTACAACCTTTTTTTTTTTTTTTTAAACTTCAAATTTCACTATTTTTACTACTAACTGCAGCACATAAGCAGTATCTACTTACTGCGGAGGTCACCAGTTTATAAAATCAAAATATTAAGGCTGTAGGATAGACAAAAGAGGCTTAAAAATGACAACATTCCAATGTTTCACAAACATTCACAAACATTCTCCTCAGGCAATAAGAAAGCGTACGGGACCTGCAAAGTAAAACCACAATGGTCCCACAGTAGCACATTCCCAGTCAGTTACCAAAAGGTTTGAATAAGCGAGATGTAGGTTAACTCTTAAATTAAATGCTGGCCCTGTGACCTGGCTGTGGGATCGAACTGTCCTAGAGCTACCAAAGTGAGTCTTGTGGAAGGTTGCCCCTGCTGAAGGGAGGTATGTATCATAGAACAGTTAAAGTTGGAAGGGACCTTAAAGACCATCTAGTTCCAACCCCCCTGCCATGGGCAGGGACACCTCCCACTAGAGCAGGTTGCTCAAGGCCACATCCAGCCTGGCCTTGAACACCTCCAGGGATGGGGCATTATATGTATGTACACATATATTGTACACAATTCAGATTTGTGGAAAAGAAGTCAGTACAGAGATTGTATTTACTGGAGCACATTGAACTGCAAGTATATTAAAGATAATGAAATTATGCTCTCTTCTTGCTCTGTAATGAATTAGCCCTTCCTGCTGCCTTTCAGCTGTACGACAGTAGGTACTGAGTGCATCCCTCAGCCCCAGCTAGCTGCCTCTCCACACTCCACAGGGATGTTGAAGACACCCATCAGTGACCCAAGAGAGCTTCCAGCTTGGAGCTCTTGGTCTCTCAGTAAAGGAAACGAAGAACACTGACAGACATTTTTATTTTAAAAGATAGAGATGTCTGTACATTAGCATTGCATCAGTGCTAAAATGCTTCTTGACAGCATGCTGCTTATCAACCAGACAGGTATGCTTTTGCAACAATTTAACTTTATCCAGTTAACTAGGGTACAAAATAAGGTCATTAAAACACCAGAATGGCTTTAGGCTATTATGAGTGGCTGAGTGGCAACCTGTCTGGGTCTTGCCAGCCACAGCGGTGCTTTGGCAGGTGTTCTGCATCCTGCAGGAGACTGTGTTTCCAACAGGAATGAATTAATGAATGAATCTGAAATAAGAGGCACAGTCTACCGGGAGGGTCTCTAACTCTGAGTCACCAGCTTCATGAGGGGATGTGAGATGTTTCTGGACAGCCCAGGACAGAATCTGCTAGCCCAGTAGCTGCATTGGCTGTCTTCAGGCCTTCAGCAGCAGGTCCCCCTGTACCCGTTGGTGAAACCAAAACCACACTCAGAGAATGCACTCATCTCCTTTTCCTGGATACTGTTTTTACACCCCTGAACACCAGCTAGAGCGAAGCACGGTTAACTGGGTAGTGGCCTAGCTGTCCTTCAGCAGCTTTCACGCTGTTCAGCACCTCACCTCCAGCTGCCACCCACCTGCTAAACGCTGACAGCATCTCTGCCTTCCACGGGAATATTCAAGTGCTTTTGCACCTACCTGCATCACTTTTCGAGGAACCAGTCTGGAAAAAGGTGTGGAAGGAGACACGTCTGTGTGCATGATGACCCAGTGCCAACGCGGGGTGTCCTGGTAACAGCAGGCAGGGAACTCAAAACAAACAGCCTAAGAAGAGCAATGAGAAGAGAGCTGCAATTAGTAGTTCATCCCTCTTTCCCCCCTCCTCTATCATCTGGTTAGTGAGGCAGTAAGAAAAATTAACCACCCAACCATAAAAGGCACACCAAGGTGAAATCACCCATCGTAGGAGTGAATTGCACTGTGGGTGCTGGTGCAAGGCAGCCAGTAGGTCTCCTCAAAGTAAGCCCTGAGGAGCACCAGCAGCAGGAGGGGTCATCTCATAGCACCCAGCCACGTCTGTGCCACGAAGAGCCACTATTGTGCTCTCTGGGAAGCACTTCTGTTTCTCCAGTACCCATCAATCAGTCTGGCCACCAACATCCTCATTTCCTACTGTTCAAGAGCTGTGAATGTCAGAATGGATGTCAAAAGGAAGAAGGACCTGACCAAAACCCAGCCCCAAGTTCAGTGTGTTTAAATTTGCACAGGGCAGCAAATGATAAGCATTAATCAGCACCCAGAGTCCCCCTTAGATATCACTGTGGGGACCTTCCGTCAAGGTAAGGGAAACTGCTGGCCTGCTTATGCCAACCAAGACTTTGGCAACAGATGTTGACTCTCTTAGCTGAATGACCATTAGCCAAATAGGAAAGTTGGCAATACCTTTGCTCTCCATCGTCACTGCCATTCCCTCACAGCACCGGCACAGGGATTATCTGCTGTAGATGATGACCAGAGGAATGCTGGAAGGAAGTTGGTCCTCTCAGTGACACACAGGGGAGCACCTTCCTGAGGAACGGAACGCTGAACCACAGATGTCTAGTGTCAAGTTCCAGCTGTCAACTGCCACCTCTGTCCTGGAAAGGGCTGGCTGTGGCTGAAGTTAGTACTAACATACCAGTACGTGGTACCAGTACTCATGAAAGTTAATTACCTCCCTTGTCAAAATCACCTTTTGTTCATTCCCAACCCATTCCCAAGTATCAACGATTTTAAGAATGGGAGGCAATATTACACCGGTCTATTAGTATCATAGAACAGTTTGGGTTGGAAGGGACCTTTAAAGGTCATCTAGTCCAACCCCCCTGCAGTGAGCAGGGACATCTTCAACTAAATCAGGTTGCTTAGAGCCCCGTCCAATCTGACCTGGAATGTTTCCAGGGATGGGACATCTACCACCTCTCTGGGCAACCTGTGCCAGTGTTTCGCCCCACTCAGCACAAAAAAATTCTTCCTCATATCTAGTCTAAATCTGCCCTCTTTGAGTTTAAAACTGTTATCCCTTGTCCTATCACTACATTCCCTGATAAAGAGTCCCTCCCCATCTCTCTCCTGTAGGCCCCTTAAATTACTGAAAGGCCGCAGTAAGGTCTCCTTGGAGCCTTGTCTTCTCCAGGCTGAACAACCCAGCTCTCTCAGCCTGTCCCCACAGCAGAGGTGTTCCAGCCCTCTGACCATTTTTGTGGCCCTCCGTTCCAACAGGTCCATGTCCTTCCTGTGCTGAGGGCTCCAGAGCTGGATGCAGCACTCCAGGTGGGGTCTCACCAGAGTGCAGTAGAGAGGAAGAATCACTTCCCTTGACCTGCTGGCCATGCTTCTTTTGATGCAGCCCAGGATACTAGATCTTAAGGAGTGTCCAGCCTAACAACTTCCCACACAGAACACAAAGTGAGCTAAATCAAAACTCCTATTCACTCAACTCTCGCTCCTAAAAAACATAAATATTTCCCTCAAATGCCAGCTTTACATTTGTGAGTGGTAGAGCAGTGGGTTGACCCTGGCCAGCAGCTAAGCACTCACACACCTTCTCACTTACACCACATTCCCACAGGGCAGGAGAGAGAATAGGGAGAAAAAAAAAAAAAAAAGTCTTATGGGTAGGAATGAAACACAGTTTTATAGGTTTGAAGCAGTCAAAAAAAAAAAAAAAGAAAGAAAAAAAAAAGAAAATCACTTGCCATTTCCCAGCAAGTAGATCTATGCCCTGCCAGCCTCTAAGCAACAGCACCATGGAAAACCCCCTTCTTCCTCCATCCCCTTTTTTTATTGCTGAACACAACATGGCCAATTTGGGTCAGCTGTCCTGGCTGTCCCCTCCCCAACTCCTGCCCACCCCCAGCTGACATGCTGTGCAGGCCTCCTCAGCAACAGCCAGAACACAGGTGTGTTATCAACACCCTTCTAGCCATAAACCCAAAACATGGCACCATATCTGCTTCTTGAAACAGAAAAGCAAACTCCATCCCAGCCAGACCCAACACAGGTAATTTAAGACACACAGCTTGAGCCTAGTAACCTACTAACTTGGTGAAGTCAGGTAAAGACATCAAGGGAAGTAGTACTTTACATCAAGGGAAGTAGTATTTTCAACATCAAAAACCCCACTGTCACTACCAGTCACCAAAGTCCTCTATTTTTTTTCAGTTGAGCAGAAAGGTAAGGACAGCCAACAATTCATTTAATTGAGGCCTGTCTTGAGTAGCTAAAAGCTTTCATTTAAACTCAAGTTAGACACTAACTTAGATTTGCCTGACTGGCATCTCCCAAGGTGATCCATGACTTGCCTGTAGAACTACGATAAATACAGAGGTATTTTACCTCTACATGGTCGGAATTCTCCAGCTTCTCAGGCAGCCACAGGCTTAGAAGCAAACTGGATGTTTCTCTTGCATTTGTTTAGATAATGAATGCATTTTAGATACCTGCTGATTGCCTCACATCAGTTTAATAAAAAGCACTACAGGAGGGCTCTAATTAAACACAGGTGAAACCAATTCACCAAGACACTGAATGTCCACATTGCCATCTTAGCACCTGAGACAAGAAAAGGTTAAAAGACAGTGATTTCAGCACCACTCCTGAAAAACCCAAAAAAACCCAAAACTAAACTCAACAGTTACTTGAGTCTGCTCAAGATTTGCACTGGAACTTTACAGGAGTCTGCCTGGTCATCCCCATGTATTCCCCAAACCTCTTTCTACACCCATTCTGTTTGTGAACAATCCAAGTTCTCTATTCCAAGTTTTTCCACATCAAGACAACTCTCATCTCCCCAGACCTTTAACTGTGGGTAAACTAAAAATTACACATCTTCATTACCCTGCAGAAATTAAGTTATATTCAGGCAAGAAGGCATTCATCACCTTATGTCAGTGGACAACAATTAAACACACCAAAAAATTTATTTAATAAATTTTATTTATGCAAAGCCAATCCAAAAGTGTTGTGTAAAAAGTGAAAAGCTCTTTTTACATATTAATAAAAACCTTGGTTTTTTTTTTTTTTTGCACATCGTCAGTGTGGGAAGAGTGAGGATTTGACTATTTTATTTACAGGAACCCACTAAGTTTGTTTAAAAATATAGGTATTAAGTAATTCTTATTTTCTCTAAAAGCTAATTGCTGTACAGTATACAATAGCTCAACGTGCCTAAATAACCAAGGGTATCCCATCATAAATTGACTATACAAGCTTTTTGTGCCCAAATGAGAATATTCTCGTTTTGATGTAATGCTTTTGACCAGTGCTTGGGGTTTTTTTGTTGGTTTGTTTTTTCTTTCCAAAAACTGGGGGCAGGGGGGGAGCCTTTTTTTTTTTTCTTAAATGTATACAGTAGTCAAATTATATTACTATGTTACACCCAGTATTTCCTTAAGGAAGAAAAGTTACGTTCCTTGACCCTCCAGTTCGGCTGCTGCTATATCTGGTTCTTCATCATTGTAAATGTTCTCTGCCTAAAGACACAAAATATTACAAGTGGTAGACACAATTGTTTTTAAACAATCTTTTACACTTTATATAAAAAAACCCATGATAGTACCAAGAAGGCACAGACATCATCCCCTTCTCAAAGAGACCCTCTCCCTGCTTTTTCTTAAGGGGTAGCCAAATGTGCATACAGTGGCTAGACTTCAGCAGTTCTCTTCTCACATTGTTTGATTTCAGCAGGATAAGCCTTAGCCATTTAATTCCTTAGCATGAACATTTCATTGTTTGGACTTGTCTCAACCTCATTCTGAACACACAACACAACTTAAAGAAGAGGTATTAAAAACTGAAAGCCTGCCTTCAGTGAAAGCACATTTAAGTCTGTTACAATTTTTAACTTGTTATTCCCAAGTGATTTTATTCCACATTTGTAAGATAACTGATCAAATTCCTATAACGCAAAATATGAACTAACTGGAGAGTTAAAAGGCATCTTGCTTCACAGTCAACATGCGGGGGGGGGAAAATAAAGAGTAAGTCTTGGGTAGTATTGGATATAAGTTTGCAACTGCCAGATTTATTCTTACTATTAACTAGTACTCAAGACTTGAAGTCAAGAAAAAGCTAGCGATTGTATCTATTCAGGTTGGTTTAGTCTTTGTTTCCTTTTGAAAGCCTTACTCTCCAAACTAACAGTGTAAGAAGGCACAAGCTGCCCCAAGAAGAACAAGCCATTTCAGTTTCATTTATGCAACAAGCTTCCGAGCAATTCCAGAGCTGCTGTGACACTCACCATTTGCCATATCTGCATTATGTTGTCCTCCGACACAGAACAGATTACCCAAGGCTCATTAGGATTCCAACTGAAGTCTGAAATTTTGGCAGTGTGTCCTCCATGAATAAACTGTTGAAAAAACCACAAGCTCCAGTGAGCCATTTCATCTTTATAGAGAAATCTGTTAAATCCCAAGGTTCAGAACTTAAATTCATCATGCTAATGACAACACACAGAAGAAAAGCTTGCTACTAGAGTCACAATACAGAAATGGTGCGCTCCATCCATTGCTTATGGACAAGGATGCCATTGCTGAGATGGCATTTAAGTCAACAGTTCATCTTGTTATAACAACTGACACCCCCAGAAAGGTGCTACTTCAGGTAAGGTTGGCCTGTGAAATCCAGCCATATTTTATATCCATTACCTCATATAATTATATGAACACTTACACAGTTACACAGGAAATGAGGAAACAAAACAGGAAGTATTTCTAATTGTTTCCTAAGGAAGCAAAACAAAACATAAACCTTTGTACTTTCTACATCAGTAAGGTGTTATATGGGACCTAACCAACCCAATGCAAGGTAAACAATTTGAGGCCTTGGCTTTATACACATTTAGTTATAAGAAGAGTACAGACAAGCACATGGCCAAACCATTAATATGTTCAACAATAAAGATGTGTAAATCACGCCCCAACAGCTTTGAAAAATAATAAATAATCACTGCCTTCAGACCTGAACAGAGGAAACCTACTGCCAAGCGAGAGCAATGGACTGAAAACTGGAGAGGAGAAAAGATTTAAGAACTGCTGCAGTTTTAGCAGCACAGTCATAAGGCATCGTGCTGCCACATAGCACGTCAGCAGACTGAAACCCCAACAAAAGCATACCAGCAGCTCAGGAGGCCCATCTTCTGCATCCTCTGCAGACTGCTCTTCTCCAATTTTACTGTAAGAAAGTAGTTTATACCTTTTATTAATAATGAAAATCACATCCTGTATTAACAGTTCCTAGCCTTTGTTTCCAGTATTTGCTTTTGCTACTGGTTTTTCTCACTGCCAAATAACTGTAAGCTTCAGGTATAAAACGTCAACTGTTTGGTGTTATCACTCCTGAAATAGAATCTAACTTGTGAAGAACATGGAGGCAGAAATCATTTATTACTAAAGACAACAGAAAACAATTCTATCAGTAAGAAACCCTCACAGAGAAGTAACATTAGAAGTACTGCGCTGCTTCTACTGTATGCCCAGAGGACCAGGTCCAAGTTAAGCAAACAAGGCAGGCTACAGAACAGCACAAATGTAGTTTACTAAATAAAGCAGCCCTGCAGCCTTAAGTCTATCTGTTCATACATACTAGAAGGAAATGTTCTTTACCTCAGATCCCACACGTTAAGCCGACGATCAGTACCGCTTGAAGCAAGAATGGTTTCATTATGAGGAGACCAGTGAACCTATTGAAAGAAAACAACTTGACTGGAGCAAAGTTACTGAGTTCTAAAAGCATGTCCTAGAAAACTGTCATCAGCACCCAGACAATAAATTTCAACAACTATACTCAATACAGCAGCTTCTTCCAGCATGAAGGATATCCTATAGCTCAAATAGAGTGTTTTAAAGTTTCTCAAGTTGAACAACCAACATTATTTCACTATTACCAATTTAGCCTATCATGAAATTTAATTGTCCAAAATTTACTGTTACTTGCACCTACTTAATAGGCAGAGCTCACAATATTAAATTTGAACCCAAGTTCCCTCTACAGCAGGACATTTTAGAGGAACCTTCTACCTGAACTGAAGGTACTTGCAAGCTCCCAGTATCTTTTTAGCAATAAGCTGACTATTTGCTTCAGAGTCAAGTGGGGAAAGAAACTATGTGGTACTGTCTGTATTTGTTGAATGAAAATTTGCTATTTAATGTTGAACAGACTTATTTATTGTGATTGGTCACTGTATGGAAATCTACATGTTCTTGTCCAAATCAGCAGTCTTCTATTGTTTTCCTACAGCTTGTGAGAAAAGTTTACCCACCTGAAAAATTTCATCTTTATGTGACTCAAAAGAATGGAGTTTCAATTTTAAGTTCCGAAGATCCCATAAAGCCACTGTCTGGAAGAAGTAACAAGAAATTGTTTTTACTATAATGCCTATAGAGTTATTATCTAGAATACTTATGAATTTAAAGTATACACAAATAAAAACCTTGTCAGCAGAACCAGTTGCTAGAATGAACTCGCTGTAAGGATTGAAGGACAGACAGTTGACCTCAGCTGTATGAGCATCTACAGAATGACTTGGTTTGGATGTGGTATTAGATCTTGTGTCCCAACTGTTGCAGTGAAGGGTTTGGGGAAGGGTAAAGGGCAGGGAAGAAAAAGAGTGAACAAACATTAATTTTCACAAGAGGTTCCTTTTCACTACACTACTGTCCTGGTTTGACAACAACTACACATTAGTTTAAGAGACTACATTATTGCTAAACTTAAGTCTAAAGCTACAGTTTTTATTCCATAACCTTTCAGTATTTTGTGTCTATTGTGCATGAGCAGCTTGCACAGGGAAGCTGACACATATATTAATTTCATCTTATTTTCAAATGATACAAATACATTAAAACTGCTTAACTCCAACTTACATCATAAGCTTCTGGTCATCCGCCACAGATCCAAAGAGAGATTCATGGAGCAGATGCCACGCCACATCTTCTACTACTGCAGAGTGTCCAGTAAAAATTGCTTTCGCATCAACAATTTTGCCTTCTTTTGGTCCAGCACTTATATCCCATAAACACACAGTCTGGAAGTAAGAGCCATATTCTATTGTTACTCTGTCTGACTGTATCATCTTTCAAATAATAATCACATTCTACACATAAGCAGAGAGATGACACTCCCTAAACAGTTCTTTGTTTTTGAAAAGGAACCCTTAATGTGTCATGAGAACTGAGCTAAGTTATCAATCAGTTTTCTGCAAATTTCCAGACCCAAGGATTATGGTCACAAAAGCAATTCACATTTTTAAGCCCACAAAGAAATTTATAAGCTATTAGTTCAATTGATCTTTGAGAGTCTTACTAATTTATGGTCTCAGAACCAAGTGAGTTTAAAGGGTTGTTATGCAACAATTTGTTTCAGCATACAACTATAAAAACACTCTGTTCTTAATCAAGAACGTTACAACGAAGTGATTGTTGATTACAGCCTAAAGTTAACTGGCAGCTTTTAGAAATATAATTACAGTATGTGAGAGTTTCCTCACATAACAGTATGCAGCTACACTAACCCAGTTTTTCTCTAATTATCCATTACAGCATAAATTAAGAACAATTGTTTGGCTGTGGTGTTTTGGGGGGTTTTTTTAGATAGGGGAAATGATGTGGTTTTTACATGATCATCTGACGCACTGAGAAGATGTCCACTCAAATTTGAGTTCCATGATAAGCCATAGCCTTCCTTCTGGTGCCCTCTTAATCTAAGGTCAGGGTTACACTCTCCACTTGGGTCTGAAAGAGAGGAAATTCCTTCTGTTTAACTTCAAGTTGCACATCAATCTGTAAGAGCATCATTATCCCCTAAGAACTTTATGTCCATTGCAATAATCACATTTTATATATCGGCCTCTTAGTAAAGTGCTGCATTTATCAAGATTCTCTTACAATACTGAGAATAACCAGGCAATTAAAGTCACCAAAGATATGGACCTTCTTATTTGGATTCCAAAGCCCATCACCTCTCCTCCCAACCACAGTTTAATACAAGTTCACCCCTCAATGACAAGTGGCATTTTGCTTAAATTCAAGGAGTTTGACCTACCTGGTTTTGAAGGATGTTTAGTGTAATCAAATACCAACACATCAGCAGATGGTGTTTTTGTAGCAATGATGCAAGGATTCTGCGGCATGTAACGAGCACGGTTTACTTCACCTTCATGGTTAATTTTGATCTCTGTTTCAATTTTGCCAGTCACAGATCCAAAGCCACCAAACTCTACATTTGTCAGAAAAGAGCCAGTTCATCACATCAACTATTTTAAATAAGTGAAACAGCGTTTCATGCCATCTCCCCTACTCCAAGAAACAGTGGTAAGTATCTTATCATGAAGCCTATGAAAGAATAGCATCACCTGACACAACAGCATTAACACTTTAGATATTTTGCATCCCTTATGATATAGACTAAAGCTCTGAAAGAGTTTCTATTTGAGTTAGATGTGTATCAGTTCTTACCAGAACTGACAGAGCTGGCAGAAATGCTATAGGAATTGTACATCCTAACGTTACCTAAGTTTTTCTAAGGTTCCTCTTCTTAGTCACAATTAATGATCCAGAATTAGTGTAAATTGATAAGTATATGTCAGCTTTAGTATTTAACAGAAAATCAGAATACCATTAGACAGAGCACTTATTAATGCTATTTCTAAAACCTAATCTAAGAATGTATGCATTGCCCACCTCCTTTGTCGCTGTCATATTGTGAAGTATCAAACTGATCATCGTTGGGAATCTGGACTCTTGCAACAACCAGATGGTTCTGTTCATCAGACGTGTGTGTTCCCAAAACCAGCCAGTGCAGAGCATAATCCTTCCCTTCTGGCCTGTTTAGAGTAATAAATGAATAGAATAAAGTTACATGCTCAGTTCCAGAAGTTCAATAGCTAGCATCAACAATACTCAAGATTCAAACTTCTTCAGGGAACTAGAAGAGAGAGACTCATGTAAATGACCCTTTCTTTGTCACAAGAGACTTGTGCAATATAGTGAACTAGACTCTGACATAAGCAAGTCAAAGATGCAACCAGGAAGGCTAGAGTGACAATACAAATCAGCAAACACTGCCACTATGGCTTGAAAGGGACAATTACAATTTGCACAGTAGTTACAGGCGACACTAATACCTACTTCTGTCTTTAATTCCCCTGGCAGTCGCATAGTATTGAATAAGAAAAGTATCAATACTACTTTCTATAAAACACAAATACTTAGGACAAGTGGCAACCTATTTTAGTTAGTTCTCAAAAGCTCTTACCAGCTATTATTTTATTTCAGAGGCTCATTTTTAAATGCTGTACAAAGCCTAGCTAACTAGTCTCAACTTCTTCTTCTGGTGGTGAAATGTAACATTTAGTAGTAAGTGAAAGGCTGGATGGACACTGCCATTTATCTCTGAAAGGAAAAATTTAAACAGTCAAAGCCAAGCAACTTATGAATTCTTGAAAACAACAAACTAATTATGCTGTCTAAGTCCAAGCAAACAAGAATCATTTGGGCAATCATAAACCACCACAAGTATTACTACACCAGTTCCGCCATCATCATACATTTTGAGGGGGAAAGAAAAATACAAAACAAAATAAATAAAAAAAAACAAAACACACAATGCACACACACTTACTTGTATCAGGAACAGGTGTCTCATCATGCCAGGTGCCATACAAAGAGGCAGTCCTTGCCTTAAATGGCTTACATATTTTGACACTGGATAATTGGAAATACCAGGTTTTAAATTGAATATTAAGTCAATCTGCAAAATACGAGGCAAGCAGAAGTGTTCCTCATAAGGGCTCCACACCCTCACATCCCCACTTCATTTTCTCCATGCCATAAGGAGTTAGCTCACATCTCTCAACATCTTCCCCAAACATTCTGGTACAAAAAATTAAGTGATCATCTAACCACCAAGTATAGCATCACATACATAAGGTGGAATTATAAAAAGAGACCAGCCTCTAATTATTGCATGAACTTTACACAGAAGATATTTTAAAACCCAGCTGTATCCAGTTTACAACAACATGAGGGACCTGGCTCTTGTCCACTACCTCAATGGAGCCCCGAGTGGTTGCTGCAACAATTTATGTTCTATAGTACCTGGCACATGAACAGACTCTATCCCCGTCTTCAAAATTCTTTAAGAAAATAACCAGCGAGCCCACAATTTTCAGAGGGATGTGGAAAAATGGGAAATTAAAATATGCAAAATCAACAGTGAGCCAGGAACAGAACTAGTATTTGAAGCACCAGTTTTAGGACAATACTCTCTTAGATAAGTTCAGGCTTAAAACAAAACAAAAAAATTGGGAGACAGATACTATAGCTTCTATAGAATAGTAATATGTAGTGCACAGGAGGAAAACTAGTCGTCAGGATAAAGCTAAGTTGGCACTTAGATTTCTCTGATCAGAATTAACTACCGAAGGGCATTAGATAGCTTATGTATCAGTAAATTGAGAACGATTTCGCTCCTCACACCTCATGACATTGTCTGCTCAGCTAAGCTAGAGTTCTGTAAATTATCAACTTGTGACTTTTTTCCTCAAAACCTCTGCATACTCAAAGGGTTTTTGAAGTCGTAAGCAAAATAAAATGTTGTAAGCTCACACAGAGCAGCCTAATGCAAATTATTCTCATCTTGCACGGGTTTTATCCTCACATTACCCGACAGACACAGTGAGCAGAGGCAGAAAGAGCAGTGGAACGAGCAATAGCACATAGCCTCAGCTCCTGCTTTGCAGACTAAGCAAACCGGCAGCAGATCCCTGTGCCTTCCCCGGCGCCTTCCGGGCCTCTCCTCCCTTCTCTCACCTGGTCACATCAGGCAACCACTGCACGGTGAGGCTGGGCCACTCCAGCGCGTGTGTCATCACCAGGTCGTACAAGAAGGGGGTGTTTTTCTTCCAGATCTTGTACTCCTCGCTGATGACGCGCTCCTCCACCGTGTCCTCCAGCACTGCAGGGAAGAGAGGGAGGTGAACCGGGGGCTCCCGCCACAGGCCAGGGCTATAGCGGGGAGGGCGCGGAATAGGAGAAGGGGGGTCCCGAGGGGCCCTCAGGGGCGGCCGCCGGGGGAGCAACCGCAGCCGCCCCACCCCGCCACCATCCCGTCAGAAGCCCCTCGGAGAGGAGGCCCAGAAGGGCTTCAGTCTCTCACACACACACACACACTCGCTTCCCGCCCCCCCCTCCCCAGGGCACACGCGTCCTCGCCCCGCCGGAGAGAGGGGAAGCAGGGGGGTGTCTCCTACCTTCCTTGCTCGCCATTTTTGGGTGGGTGTGTCGGCGCACAGCCGGGGCGCGGCGCAGGAGGCAACAGTGAACGACGGGGAGAGGGAAGGAGGAAGGGAGCGAGGCCCGCCGATGCTGACG